GGTCTATAGTTGAGACACCAGTCTACTAAACCGCACGTTACATCTTTTGTTTCTCGTCTGTCTCACAACTTTCGCAATTATTTCAGGTCAGACGATGACGGTGGGAGCGGATTGTATGATGATCGTGCGATTGTACGATAAGCATGATCGTTCGGAACAATAAAATTCTATAGGAAAAACGGGTAAAATCAATATTTATTATGATTTTGTTGGTTTTGTTTTTTGTAACATACACAAAAACAAAAAATTTGTCAACAATCAATGACCTTTTTTCTAATTTTTTTTTTAATTTCAAATTTTTTCACTAATCTTGGTAATAAAAACATTCTCACCTGAAAATCTGTCATCGATACCTTTGTTACTTTATTAAATAACGCAATTCCTTCAATGATTGAAATTATGAATTAACAGATTGCCCCAAACAGAAAACACGGTAAAAAGTGTCCCACAGTTTTTTCAGTGTATTTCGTTCTATAAATAAATTTAATCACACTTTATCTTAGCTCGAACTTCATATTTATATGATTTTTGGTGAGTTTTCTTTATTATTGATGTTTTTTTAAAAATTTTTGTAATGGCCATTTTACAAATTCTCGCTAAATGGCCTGTCAAGCAATTTTACACGAAATCATAAAACTCTAAAAATTTATTAACTCGACTGCATGGCAACAAGTTACAATCTTCATAAAATAAACGACTTCGGCAGGAACACACCAATCATGAAAATGATGATTTACAAAAATTTTACGTTGATGACGACAATGACAACAGCCATCATTATTATTATCATGAAAATGTCACCGTGAAACGATGTTAAGGAAGAATATGTTATATATAACGATGGTCGGAACAATGGTTTATACGATAATTAGGATATTTCTTTAACAAGGTTTATGTGGCCGTTCACCCAGATTGCTACATGATGAAAATATTTAGGAGTCGAGGATGGTGGCTTGTTCTTCATTACGTCACGAACCTCCAAAAATTTCAAAACTGCTTATATATCGTTTCTTATATACTTGCTTGCATGCTTGCTTACATCTCTCTATGTCTATAACTAGGTATATGTAACTCATCTTCAGTGCCATATGTAGGAAGTTTAAAAATGTTATTGAAGTGTTTTACGAAATTAACGAGGTCTCCTGGAAACCAGAGTATTATGTGTCTCTTAAGTGCTACATTTTTGTTGGTTTTGCTATTAATACTACCTTTCAACATAACTCGTTCAGTCGGTTATTCTCAATTGTATATCGATGTGTGACCGCTTGGGGTCAATAAGAATACCATGTTTCACATAAATGAAATTGTGGTCGCATATATATATATATATATTTATATATTTATATACATATATATATATATATATATATATATATATATATACAATAAGAGTGAAGATTAAAATTAATAGCAAATGATTATTTTAATATGAAAAATTTCTTTAAAATTAATTTAACGCATGAGGAATAGTCCAGCCCACCTTGATGCATGAATGAATGAACATCCGAAGCTTCAACACATCTTCTAACAATCAATCAGTCTGATTAATCTCTCGTGCTGGAACGGTGGTGATGGTGGTGACGACGATGATGATGACGTTTTTGATCATCTTGATGTTGATGACGATGATGATGACGATGTTGGTAATGATGGTGACGATGTTGGTGATGATGGTGACGATGATGTTTTTGGTGATGGATGAGATGATAATGAGGAGGACAAAGTATACCCCTGATGAAAATGTGATGACCACTCATAAAGTAAGATTGTTGATTATGATGAATATGATGCTTATAATGCTTACAATGGTAGAATTATGATGGAGTGTTTTTCTGAACGTGCTGTCTTAATGAATTGATGCGTCAGCGTATGAGTGATGCCGAAATGAAGTGATCGCTTTAATGATGAAATTTTTCTTTGCGATATATAAATATAGAGTAAATCACCCGTACTTAGTTTGGAACAATTTCTCACGTTTTTTCGATAAGTATAATATATATATAGAAATTGATTTTGCAATTGTATGAAAAACGTTAACTAGATAAATATGTTTTCAAAATTTGGCATTATACCACTTAGATTTGGTACCAGGAATATGCTTATAGACAAATTTCTGATAACTGTGAGTAACTATAAAATCAATGCCGACGATGATGAAAATGTAGGTGAAAATAAGGGAGTTGAGTAAATATGTGATGACGATGGTGATGAGGAGGGGTAAGATGATTGATGATGACAAGTAACATACATTGTTTGAAAACAGAATTCCGAAACATGACATCAAAAATACCGGTTGTGTTGATGATGATTGAGATGTTGATGATTATGATTGTTAGATGTTGATGATTGTGATGGTTGTAATTATTTTTATAATGATGAAATGGTCAAATTACATACAAAAGAACGTGTTTTTTGATTAATAAATAATTAATTCTCGACAATATAAATCCGATTTTATAGTACTTTTTATAAGAAATTGTAAAGTTTTTTGCTTAATTCATGATCAAATGTTACGATTCTCACAAGATATAGGCATAGTCAAACACATTTGTCCACTAACTCTTCAGTGAAAATATTCATGGTAAGCAAATTCTTCAAATTCCATGTCCGTATCGGAGTTCTTAAGTAACGAATACTTAACATTTACTCGTTTGACTTGTTCTCACATCAATTGTTAAAACTTAGGAGTGACAATGTTTTAGGCATCTTGTTATCCCTTTTACCGCTGCCAAATTGTTAAGTAGGTATTGAATTTTATTTTCATATTCATTCTTGAGCTTAACAATTTATTTAATTTTTAAGTCTGTTTTATTGTTATTTTTCGTTAATGTTGTGAAATGAAAAAACAATTTTGACTGTTTTAAAATTGGTTTTTTTTGTTTTTTGTATTTTTTTATTGTAAAAATAATTTATGCATAAAAATAGCCTAATTTTAAGTTCCACAAAAAAACGACAGAAGATCTCAAAAATATTCCGATAAAATGTCTATTTTGACGGAAAAAATACCAAAGTACAAAAATTTCTTATCTTCAAAATGTTTTATGATAACATGACATAACATAACACGACATGACATGAACTATCATAACATTAATATTAATGATTGCAGGTTTAAACTCAATAAGCGTTGATCACCAAAAATAAACTGTCAACATAATTTTTTCAATAAAAAAAATAAATTACGCAAAAAAATATAATAACAAAAAAATTTTTCAAAAGTTTTCTTCTTTTTGAATAGTTGAAGCAAATTGCGCTAATTTTTCAATTTTTATTAACTGGAAAATTTTTGCGGAATAGTTGAACGTGATTCAACTTTTGAAGAAAAATTGAAAATATTAAAGTTAGCTCCTAGGCATTTAGGAGCACAATCTGATAATTGGCAGGTTACTCATGGGTAAGTTGATAATGACTGTAGGGCTACTGTGGTGATAGTGTCATGATGATGACAATTATGATGATATTGCTAGAAATATGGCGATGATGACATAGACCTAAAGACGATGATTATAGGTAGCATGATGAAGATGATTATAGGTAGCATGATGAAGATGATTATAGGTAGCATGATGAAGATGATGATCATAATGATGGTCACGAGAAAATCAGACCAACAACTTACATGTAGACGTAGCTCCCGAGTTTTTTTTGTATTATTAATGTGGTATTGTTGTTTGTTGAGTAACTCTCTCATTTCAATCAAACTACGTAACTAAACGCCAGACGTTTCAACGTCGTATTTTGCTTAATGTTAGCATTTCAGTTTTAATAACTGAATGTTAATATTAAGAAATTTAAATTAAATTTATTGACATAACTGAAGTATAAATTTCTAATTCAATTTATCCAACATTTTTTTCACACTTCATTCAGAAAGCGTTTTTCGTGAGGCTTTGAAAAAGTAAAATTTTAAACTTTTATACCCGCAATTGCCGCAAAATTGAAATTGAATAACTGCCATTAAGTTTATAAACTTGAGGTTATTTTGAATTTCTACGTTGGTAGAAATCGTACAGGTCGACACGGTGGTGGAGTGGGATTTTACGTAGATTGCAACTGTGTGTATAAAGCTAGAGACGACTTGAATAACCTGGGTAATGTGGACTTTGAGACATTTTCAATTGAAGTCTGTAATAAAAATTCACACAACAAAAATAAAAATATGGTGATAATAGTATCTTATCGCCCTCCTTCACACGACCCAAAAATCTACTTGAACCAGTTGGAAAAAATCCTTCATGCAGTAAATAATGAAAATAAATATATTTGTTTAATGGGAGATTTCAACATTGATATCTCAAATTTAAATAAAGATGTGAACAAAACAAACTTGCCCCATCTTATGACTTGTTATAATCTTGCACCATTAATCACTACACCAACCAGAAGTAGCACCAATAAAAGGTTGGTCATTGATAACATCTTCGTGAATTTTTCTCAATTTGTAAAGTTAAGTGGAAGTTTGACATGCGATTTATCAGATCACCTACCAATATTAGCCTCATTTAGCATCAAGATGAAAAAAACATCAGTTGTTCTCAGCCTGAAATGAAATTCTCATATTCAACTACCCGTTTAAAAAATTTGAATTGCTGTTTGCTAAACTATGACTGGAATGAAGTGCTTGATTGCAATGACGTTGATGCAGCATTTGAAAAGTTTACAGGATCTTTTCAGTCAGGTCTTTTTAATTCCTGCTTAATATCTTCAGAAAAAAAGAAAAGAATGTTATCAAAACAAAAACCATGGATTACAAAAGATATTAAAAAGCTAATAAAAAATAAAAATAAGTTGTTCAAAGTCTATTTAAAGAATCCATCTCAATTCAGATATGAAAAATTTAGAGAAGTGTGCAAGTTATGTAATACCATGAAGTATAAATCAAAAAGACAGTACTACAACGAATTAGTTGAGCGTCATAAAACTGATATTAAAAAAACATGGTGCATCATAAATGAAGTAATAAATAAACGTGTAAATAGATTAAAAATATTAAAATAACAATGAATGATGAAATAGTTGAAAATCCTGAAAATCAACTCAACCAAAACTTCATCGACAGAGCAATCAACCTGTCCAAGTCATTTCAACACAACAATAACTGGAAGTCATATCTACGCAACAAAATTTCAAACTCATTTTTTTGTTTATATGCCTCCAAAAACGAGATCATTTCAACAACTCAGTCGTTAACTCCAAAGTCTTCAAGTAGTTGGGACAATATACCCGCAAAAGTCGTAATTTCAACAATTCATTCCACAGTGATGGTTCTTGAGTATCTAATCAACCTGTCATTTGCCGCCGGAAAATTTCCCAAGTGCTTCAAACTATCAAAAATAATACCTATTCAAAAAGTAAAAAATAACTGTGATGTAACCAACTTTCGACCAGTGTCTCCATTTCCGGCGTTCTCAAAGATAGTTGAAAAACTGATGCACTCAAGATTGACGGCCTTCCTACGAAAAAATAATATTCTGTCGAATCATCAGTATGGATTTCGAGAAGGACACTACAGAGTTGGCTATAGTAGAGTTAATACGAAAAATTAGCTCAGCTGCGGAGGAAAAAAATTTTACAGTCGGAATATGTTTGGATTTATCAAAGGCGTTCGATTGCATTGACCACAACATTATGGTCAGAAAGTTAGAACACTATGGTGTAAGAGGAAAAACACTAGAACGGTTCCAAAGTTACCTGGCAGACAGAAAACAATATGTATCCTAGAATAATAATAATTCAAACCAACAAGCTAATAATTATGGTGTTCCACAGGGCAGTGTTTTAGGGCCGATGCTGTTTGTCATATTTATTAATGACCTTCCTTACGCCAACAGCTTTTTCGACTACATATGTTTTGCTGATGACACCAATATTTTTAGCAATGGTAAATTAATTGAGGAAGTCATTCAAAAAACAAACACGGAATTAGCACATGTTATGTCTTGATTCTCGTATAACAGGCTAACAATAAATAAAACTAAATCGCAAATGATAATATTTGGACCTGTTCAGTGTTTAAATTATAAGAAGCCTTACAAAATCGTGATAAAGGAAAATGAAATTTTAGAAAGTAAAACAATAAAATTCCTTGGAGTGTATTTGGATCAGAAATTGACTTTCAAAGCGCATATTCAGCACATTTCCAACAAATTAGCTCAATCAATAGGCGTAATTAATAAAATAAAATTCTACCTTCCAAAAAAATGTTTGAATCTGCTTTATAATGATATCTGCACATCTCACATAAATTATTGTAACGTTTTGTGGGCTGGCGCGTATCCTTCAACAACAAATTCAATTAAAATTATGATGAAGAGAGCAGTAAGGGTGATAACGCTATCTAAACAATTCACCCATACAAATCAATTATTCTTCTCCACTAATAATTTAAATTTGGATCGGATCAGTAAATATTACACAGCCATTTTTGTTTTCAAGCAACTGTCCAAAAAGCTTCCTCCAACGTTTGACGAATATTTCAAAGTAGTCAACAACCCTAGACGTGTCAATTATCTGATGAGCAACAAGTCGCGAACAAATCTGTTGCATTCTCATGTTGTCTGTAGAGGACCAAGTATTTGGAATGACATTTTAAAAAATGATTTTTCTTTCAACGGAACATCACTTACTATGTTCAAAAAGAATTTAAAATTGTTTTTGCTAAATTTTAATGACAGAGAAAATTTGTAAAAAAAAGAGATGACGCTTTATTTAATTTTAATTTCTGGTTATTTGCGTACATTTGGGTTCAGGTGGCTGTGCTAGATGAGCCCTCTATGAGCTTTATCACAGTCATTCTGGCTTTATTTTTTTTTTTGGAGTGAATAAAAAATTGTATTGTATTGTATTGTATTGTGTTGAAGATTTACATTTAAGAAGAAATTTCATTGTTAACCAAAATAAAAAAAGAACATAAAATTATTGTTTTAGTTAGAAATAATTTCAATGATGTGAAATTATAGAAATCTTTTTTTGAGTAGTTGTTGAAAAAAAATTGTTTGAGTACCTACATTGTGAGCAAATGACATACTTCAGATAAAATTAGCTACTGAGTCGTTATTTGGTGAATTTCTTTCTCTTTTGTTTTTATGATATTCACTGAAAATTTTTGATGTTTTTCATATATGAATAAATAAATAACTCACAATATTTTTAATTTGTTCTAAACCGTGATTGTCTATTGTTTTTATACAAGTACCCCTATGTTGAAATTTTATATTAAAGTTTTTTCAAATACTACTTTGTCCAACAAATTGTTCAGTTCATATAAATAGTATAATTATCAAAAATTGACTGTTAACCCGACAGCAGAAGAAAGGTTATGGGTTTAATTTATTCATTGAGGACGTGCCTCATAGTGAAAGTCCTTTGCAGCCACTGAATCACGTATGGTCAACTAATCAATTAATTGTAAGAAAATATAAAAATATCGCCAACTGTTGAATGTTGGTATCAAAACATGTTCCACAAAAATTTATGAATTTAAATAATGCTCCTGAAAACTATAATAGTTGTAAGATATGTAATGAAATGATAAATATATTTTACACACTCAGGACGAAAATCTCAAAATTCCATTTTCTATTTTTAACTATTTTTATGCAAATTTACTGTTTTTATGCAAAAAAATAAAAAACGAAAAAATCTAGGTTGAAATGACAATATAGGTTACATGCAAAAATTTTTAACGTTACAATTTGGTTCTGTTGCAGAAAGTGTCTCGCCCGCCTGTTAATTGTAAAAGTTTACGATGCTATAATTGATTTTGAGTTTTTAAGCGACACGAATTGCAAATAAAAATGCTGACTAAATTTGATGAAACTATTTTTAGAAAATTTTTTTCCTAAATAAAATTATCATATGTCACAGTTACTAATTTTATATTTATTTTTCAAACAAGATTGCAATTAAAACCAACAGTAACTACTCTTGTAAATTTCACAATAACAGTATAATTATTCATCCACAATTTGCAATTCCAAAAATAAAACTGCCTGAGAGTATGTTTGTAACAAAAATGCCAAGAATTTGTTTCCGCATTTTCAATTTGAATGGCATCAAATTACATGATGTCCGGTTCTTTCTTGTCATCAGCATGCGGCAAGTAATATATTTTTTTTTAAATTTCAATCTAATAAATCTGCATTTTTTCTTATTTTTCAATGAATATTTTTAATTCTCTATTTAAAAAGATGGACTTTTTAATGTAATTCGTTTTTATGCATTTAAATTAATAATGTGCAGATGTAATTTTAAAAAATAACGAAAAAATACGGCGAAAAAATTTGTTCTAATTCAGCAGCTGTTTTCAAGTTATTCCTGTTTCTTTATACAATTCTTAAATAATTAAAGGCATTTTTTGAGTTTTCAGTCACTGACCTTCTGTTAAGATCTTGCAAACACATTTTCACAAAAACTTATCCCCAACGTGATATCATTTTTATTCTCTTTACGGCGTTCCTCATTTTGTGTGCTGTTTTTATCCACCTGATTCGATTTTCTCTAGCTACTGTTTATGTGCATCACCGTGTTGTCTTAATATCCTTCTTTCGCCGGTCATTTGCAAGCGAGAGTTAGTGGAAGCCATACTAATAAAATAAATGAATAATAAAATCATCTCGTATAACGTTGTACACATATACTAATGTATTTTCAGTTTCACTTAACCACCTAAATTTACAACTTCTAATTATTCCGCACCATGTACTACATTTTCTCAATCTTTTTACTTGTGCAAATGCAATCGTGAGGAAATATATCTACACACACACACACACACATATATATATATATATATATATATATATATATATATATATATATATATATATATATATATATATATATATACATAGTTAGTGGTTAAATATTTTTTAATATTTTATTTTGTTGATGGTTTATTGGCCATAAAAGTACATTTTACATTAGTTAGATAATCGCTACGAACTATCTGATACTAACAACAAGCAACGAAATATAAAATAGAAATAAAGTTCTACATAAACTTCTCCGCCGTCGAGATAAGATCGTTATCTCTTGCATCTTGTTGTATTATTCATTTTAAAAGACTATAAATTAGTTGTGAAAAAAGTTAAGTATACATTTGTAGTACTAAGATGTTTGTTAGTATGTTTTATATTATATATAATATATTTTATATATTTATACAATATTTTTAGTATAATATCAAGAGTGAGTCGACTTGAATATAAAAAATGAGAATTTAATACACCCTTTAATTATATAAAGGGTGAAAATTCCCGACCTGCTACCTGAAGGAAGTGCGGTTGACCAGTGCGAGTACATAAAGTACACCTTCCCTCACCGCGACCAAAGGTACATTACTCTGAAGACGTAACTCGTTCTAGGCTAGAGGCGTTTCGTCACTTATTCACTTACTCATCAGTAGCCCGAGTTAAAACACCAGAGGAGTTTGATCAGTTATAATAAGCCCAAGAATTCTACGTTGATGCTACGTTGAAACTTGAAAGACTATCGCGCATTTCATGTGAAAACATTTGGAGCTCGTTTAAAATTAATTAATTGTCTCGAAATACATCATCGATTAAAAACAATTAAACAAATGTATGTAAAAATATAAACAAATAAGTAAGTAAATAAAAATGAATAAATAATTGAATAAATGAAAATGAATATGTAGTTGCATGTAAAAATATTCACGTTCTCGCTTGCTCGTAACCTTAATTCAATTACATACTTGTTGGTCGGCTGTCCTTTTACGACGCTTGCAAATGCTCGCGAACTTCTTCTTGTCCCATCTTCTATCCGCAGCAAACTTAGCAAATTTTTTTTCAACCTACGATTGCAATTGTTCGACTGTTATTTTATTTCTCTCTTAATTCTAAATGTACCAAATGCTTTCAAGTTTGAGTATGTTTTTTTAACATTTTTTGAACATTTCCGTTTTTTCACTGTTTTTTCAATAGAGATTTTTGTTTTGTTTTTCTTTTTGAATCAAACTGACAAAGGCAGCGGTACAACATGCAGAAAAGTAATGAAGCACAAAAAAATTATCAACGCAATGTACGAAAAATGCATTTGAAAATAATATGAAAATGTATGAAAGGGCATGAGGAAAATAAGGAAAATAATAAAAAAAACTAATGATTGTCGTCATAAAATAAGCAGAAAAATGAGAAATAATATACAGAGAAGAAATGACTAATAGGAAAATCAATGTCTGCACTGTATTACTTGCTTTCTCCTGCCTTATCGATCAAAACATTATTTACATTTTCAAAATTTTTATTTTTGTATTTCTGACTTCTGTAATTTTCTACTTTTTTAAAAGTTTCTACTATTTTTAATATTTTTAATAAGTGCTGATTATCCAGAATCATACCAAGATATTTGCCGTTTTCAACTGTTTTGCGTTGCGGTATGAATATGAAATTAGTAACTACCAGAAACTTTTTAGTTGATCGACACGTACTGTAATTTGAGCGCGTCATTTGAAATACACACACTCACACACACACACTCACGCACAGAAACGTACCCGCACACATTTAATGTGAAATTACCAATTGTTGTTCAAGTATCATTTATATAAACACACACCATCCGTGATTTAGATGTTACTACATATTTCTTTATCGAAGCATGCAAATATGTCATAAATTGATAGTTGAGACCCTCTTAATATTTATTCATGCTTCATAGAACATTTATCTTTTTAATATCTCAATGAAAAACTTTTTATGTTCGAATAATAATTTTGTTTCTCATATTAAATACAAATTTTTCATTTACGATTTTTAAACAATAATAAATTTAAAACTGAATCTTAATGCAGGTCAGTGAATGAAGAATGTACAACAAATGTTTTTGGGTCCATCTTCTATTTGGCTTAGATAAGAATCTATAAATGATAATGTGAGTCGTAAGTTAAGGTAGGAAAAAAACTAACAAAAGAAATTTTTGAAGTAAAAATTAATGAAGGTGGAAACGGTGGAAACAGCTCACTACGAGAGGCATTTATTCTAAGAATTTCAAGTTACGAGTTCGTTTCTGCGTTTATAATGAAAAACATTCAATCAATGATTTAAAAATCGCCTGCAAACCTAAGAGTCTAATATGGCTTCCAACTTTTGTAAGCATGAAAAATAATTTCACATAGTTTTTATACCCACGCCTTTCTGTAACAACTTCTTATTCGTTTATAACAACATTTTTAACCTTTTCAGTAGTCTAAATATGAGTGGTTTTTGCAGCATTTTAAAAGGATAAAAATAAAAGGAGTTATAATGGATCAAAATGACTTCAAATAAGTCAAACTTTTAAAACTAAACTTCACTCTAAGTTTTTTAATTTGAACATAAATATTGTTTGTTCAAATGTCACAATTTTTTTCCAGTTAAACTTGTTTTTATTAAAAAACGTTTGTGCCAAAATCTCTTGCTTTTATAATACATTTGCACTCAACTCATAGAAATGTCGTTGCAAACAGTTGCAAATCGTTTATCTGTTTAGCTTTGAAAATGCTCGCTCATGATTGACTTTATGGTTTATGACTACCTAAAAAAAACTTTCAATTTTTTTTAATATTATGAAAATTGTCTTAAAATATATAAGTACATCGTGCTATTTTGTACTTTTTTGAAAACCTCATATCTAAATGCATTCACACGTTAGCAGTTTTTATTGTTTCACTTTATTGCTGCAACAAAATTTTGTTTTTATGAATGAAACAAGCGCAGTGACTAAGCAACTACAACTGCTGGGACTTATTGAGACATCACGAATCATGTCATTTGTTAACCGTTACAGATCATTCAAAACTGTAATTAACTGAAAAATTGGTAGTTTTCATTAACTTATTGCATGTTTTTTCTTAATTTCTTAATTTGAAGCTCATGCCAGCGGGGAAATAATAAAATTATTAATTAATTCAAAGAGTTCTTCTAATATTTTATATCAAGGTTCAAATTTATAGAGCAATATTATTTAAATTGAATTATCTATCATACCTAACTTATTTACTTAATGGAATTTTTTAAATATTTAGAAATTAATTTTTTCAGTCAGATAACCAATCGTAACCAAAAGAGGACTAGCTCTGTTAAAAATCGTCTTCCCAGCGTTTCAGAGCATATTAAACTGAACCATAAAACAGGATGCAGTTTTTCTGCAATTTGCGTCTCCAAGTCAAAAGATTTTGGCATTTCTGCAGAGGAAATGAAACTGCAAAAACTGGGTAAAGAAGCGGAGGAGCCCCTAAACCAACCATATTCAACAGATGCCTCTGCCAGTGATAAGAATGAAAACTGCTCAAACAAGTCAAAATTGAAAAAATCTGTAACTGTCCAGGAGTCACTAGAAGATGTTAAAACAAAAAGACAAGTATTTTTTATGAAGTTTTGCTTATTTTCATTCAAACATGTACAAAGTTTTTATTAATTTTTTTTTTAAAACAAACTTTTGCGTTTAGAATTTTTGGTAAGCATCTTAATGAGGCAGATCGCGACGGAAAATTTGATCGGATAGTTTTTCAATGTTATTTAATTGTTTGTTAAATTATTTAAGTTAATACAAATGGTGGGCTTATTTTTTTCAGAAGCTTATTATGGCAGATTTTTGTGTTTTTTACACTTGTTTGGTTAACATTTTTGGATAAAAAGAACATTTTGTGTTTGCTTTTTTCACGAGGCAGTCTTAATTATATTTACAACTTCCAAACAGGTCATCAAGATGTTGCTCACGGTGGTCATCCTCTTTACCATGTGTTGGTCGCCTATTTTAATTGAATCCGTGTTAGCAGCTTTTGACATTGGTCATCGGTTAAACTTCGGTCCCATCAAACACGCCCGCCAGGCATTTGCTCTACTTTCCTATTTCAACAGTTGCGTCAATCCAATCGTCTATGGCTTCATGTTGAAAAATTTTCGTAACAGTTTCAAGAGCATGATGTGTCGCTCGCAGTGCTGCCAGAAACGTTCCTGCTGTTGCATAGGTGAAAGTGCGGGCGGCGATAATAAGAGATTCATCCACAACACTTACCAAAACAGTAATAAAATTTTTCAATTTCATTACAACGCCAACAACAACAACAATAGCATTAACAACAACAATAGCATCCATAACGTCAACAACAATACTAGCAACAACGCTTCAACTGTTAACACCTATTTCAAATCTAGTATTAAAGTGTGCAGTTCACCGTAAGAACGTAAAAAAAACAATCACCAAACTCTGCTTATCATAACAATTTCAAGCCGCTTTTCTGTGAATAATACGTGTTTTGTGGATGATGCTGATGTGAAAATGACGCTATAAACAGCAATGATAAGGATTGCAATGATGATGGCGTTGATTATTTGGGCAATTTCAGCCTACGAAAAAACCTGTACAAAATCTTAAGTAAAATATTGTAACGTGTTGTGATGTTACACTCTACATTGTAGTAATTTTCGGAAATACCTTTTACATCCAAAAAATTTAAAGCACTGGCAAACTTCATCAAATTATATAAAAATGTTGGTATTTTGTAATGAATGTGTGAAACTGTCTCTTACGTATTTTTTCAAACAACTCATTTATTTTAATTAACCGTTAACTTCAATTTTTCAAATTATTAAATGATATTGATACTGTTTAAAAACTTCAAAATTATATAGGTATAATTAATTTTTTAATGGTGCAAATAAATGAAATGATTAACAGCAAAAATAAATAACTAATGTCTTTTGGAGTGGCAACACTCACTCAGATAAGAAAAGGAGTGAAAAATGAAAGTTTGAACAGCTATGAATCCGCAGAACAAATTATTAACGTGTTGGTCTCAGAGAAATGTTTCCTTTTTTGCATCGTTTTAAAAAACACAATTGACAACAAACCAAGTTTGGCGTTAGAAGTTTCGAAAAAAATTTAAAAAAATTTGTTTATCAGTACTGCCAGACCTAAGTGAAACATTGTAATGACGCTTTGTACTTTCCTTTGGAGTATAAACAAATCTGATGTGCTCTGTCAACAGTCAGGTAGTGTGCGCGTGTGAGCGATTAGGTATTAATATAAAATCACGCGAGGCAAGGTTGTTATAAAAGAATGCGTTCTTCCATAAAAATAAAAAGTAAGGATTTTTCAGAAAGAAAAACTAAAAATATTGAAAATATTTAATGATAATAATAATAGCTTATAATGGGCTCTAACTAAAAAGTCAATCAGTCCATGTCTAAAAACATAAACCATATAACAGACTATACATAATCAAACAATTTTGTCCATGTTATTAACAAAAATAAAGTCTTTATTAGTTATATACTGTGATAACTTATTTCAAGCGAGACTTATATGAAAGATTTTAAAACGAGGTTTTAAAAAAACTCTGAGAGTGGCAAGCTTTTAAATTATGAAAATATTTTTCGGCGTAAAAAAAGGAGGTTTGATTTTGCGTGGACATGTGCAATTATCCGCATGCAGAACGGAACCAAAAATAAGCGCCACCTACCTACACTCTAAAAAGATTATAAAACAAAATTTATAACTGTGTTATATGTTTACCAAGCACACAGTCTCCATCTTATCATCATGTTAGGGAAAGTTCGCACTATAAGTTGCTTAAACTTTTAATGTGAAAGATGAGCAAAAATAATAATGCATTGGATAAAAATGTTCCATGTGAAAAGAAGTCAAAAGTCATGCCATTTGGCTTCTTTTACAAATATTCTGTCATCGTTTTCTAATCACACTCTTCAATCCTACCATCACTGATCACATTTTCAACATTTTGAAAATTATAAGTTCAATATATTCATAATTGTTTGATGCGATGCAGTATTTTAAAAAATTTTGCATAACAAAAAATTGAGTTTATAACTGCAAATAAACATTCACGCGGTCTTGCATAGTTGACTCAAGTTTTTTCAAACTTTTAAAGTCGTGTTTGTTGGCCTGATTTAAAAATAAACTGTCAAATTAGCCAACACGTTACTCGCGCTAAAAACGATTTTGTTGTTTTAAATTCTAAAAACCAGACACAAAAATTTTAAACTGCTGTGACATTACCGATGTATCAGATTTTGCTGTCTTCCTCTAGTAGGTGTCCTTCCAATGTTAAATGTCATGTTTGTGGCGACATTTGAATTTTAAAACATGACATTGAAGAACTCAAAAGATGCTTTTTTAACAAAAACTCTTCATAATTTTAATGACAAATTTCAAGACAAATTCCTAAAATAGTTCAAAAGGTGTAAGCGTAGATTCTGAGTTTAAAATAAAATACTTTAGATAATATTAAACCTTTTACAAAAGTTTATAAATTGTTTTTTAATCGTTGAAACTTGTTAAGTTTATTGGAAATGATGAACAATTAAAAAGTCGAGTTGAAACATTTTTATGGAATACTACTATAAAAAGTGTGTCTGATGAAATTGGATTGTGCCGTTATAAAATTTAAATAGAGGCTATCAAATGGTATCAAACAGACTTCAATTTTGCTAAATAAAATCTATTTATAATTTATCGAAACAAATTTTGAATTTTTAAACCGGTTGAATAAAAGGATATCTTTAAAGTTTTTACGTTGAAAATATTCGATTAGTTGTCGATAGCAATAAATCTATGACTAAGCACTAGTTGTACCTACCAGTTGCTGCATAATTGAATGATAGAAATAAAATTAGATTACTTTTAGTGAATAATTAATAAAAGTTCTGAAATTTTGGTTTATTTGTTTTTATATATTAAAAGTTTATTGATTTAAAAAATTGTTTTAAAGTTTTTTGGTTTTTAAAACTTTGTTTACATGCTAATTTTTTTGCGTATAAATGCTAACCTTTTACTGTTTAGAGATCTAATTTAAAAATAAGCAATTTAGTAATCAAAAAAGTATTCCAAATAGCATATTTGCACTTTTTATTTCGTCTTCTACGACCAACCTGTAAATCCGTGTCGTTTTTAGGTAATTAAGAAATATGATGCGTACGGAAAAAATAAAAAAACATAAACAAAGAGTTGTGATGTGTATGTCTATGTCTTAGATTTTTCGAATGCGTTGTGGTGTTTGTAGGTGTGATGTATAATCACGGAGACCTATTTATTTAGGTCTGTATTCGTATTGCTACGTAGGTATACGCCAATGCATAGTATTGCTACATTCTCGGTAACATTGCAATTTTGATGAATGGTTCTGATGAATACTTCTAACGTTTTTTTGACAATTTATATGTTTTTGATTGTGTAAGATCTGTTTTTTTTGAAATTTTTCTTTTGTTTTGATCACAGTTTATACATGTTAGCTTGTTTTTATGTAGGCATTGTTGTATATGAACGCTGTTAATGTCCATGGGACAGTATGAATATTATCAGTAGACAACAGCGCTGTCCTGAATGTTTTAGTAGTACGAAACATTACCCATGGAATGTTAGCACTGATTTTGTTTATCTGCCATCGTTTTTCTCCCATTATACACCACTTTGCTGGAAACAATACAAATTATTATATGGACGTGGAAACACCATTCGTCAGCTCTCTTGAATATAATTAATCCTTATGGATAACAAGGTTGAGTTAAAAAATGGAACACAATGACGCAAATGTTTCAGGGTCAACGTTGAAAGTCATGTACTTCACTTCCTATCTTTATGTTTCCATGGTGCTTTCGTAACGTTTAAACATCAATGTGGTTCTATCTGACTCAAACACATTCTTCAATTAATCGTGTTTATTAAAGTTCAAAATAAAGATTTGAAATTTTTCGACTGTGTCTAATGTTTTATAAGCTTTACAGAATGTAACGCATTTTAAAACAATATTGTTTGTTGAAAAAATCCTCAACATTTTCTTCTTTCATGGTCTGGTTGTCTTCACCCCTGGGTTCGCCATTGTGTGCTTATTATATGTTCCATTATATATCGTTAACTATCAATGATACACCGCCCCTTGATAATGCTCAATTCATTATTACTTTTGAATAAGTTTCCTTTTCTCTAATTTTTGTTTAGCGTTGCCATGGTTATGGTTTTCCACTGTCCAAACTCTGAGTTCTCTGAATACTGTGATCATATGATGATTACAATGTAATCAATTGTTTTTTATTGAAATTCCAAAGAAATTATGGACACCTGTGCAACTGTATATAACGAGGAATGTTTTGCTGGTTAGTATTATGTATCAAAAACCAAACCAGGCGTGTTAGATCTTAGAAATTATAGAATTTTGATTATAAAATTAAAAATAAACTTTAAATATCTAAGTGTAGCGATTAACTAAGATTTTTAAGATTTTGTTACTAATTGTAGTTACTTTTTACTAACTAACTAATCTTAAATAAATTCTAGTTTATGTTTGTGTATGGTAATACTCTAGTTCTGTGTTCCTATAAGCAACCGATAACGGATAACGCCCACGAAAATAACACTGCCTCACATTTTCGTGAATTGTGTTTGATTTCAACTTGAATAAACAATTTTAAAGGCTATATATAAACGTCAACTATCAATTAATAATTAATTTTCCAACCTGAGTAAGCATAAACACTTACACCATTTAGATAATGAATCAAACTCTGATGAATTGGCAAACAAATTTGATCCAACCAATGCATTTGATTGTGAAACACTAGCTGGTATCAAAATTTGTTACAAATAAAATACATTATTAACGTACATAAAAATTTAATTAAAATTTTAATAACTCAATTTCTGCGAAAAATTTTTTATTAATTTTGAATCATATTATTAAAAGCATCTGCGTCTCGTTTTTATTTTGAAACGTTACTATTCGATAAAATATCGAAATTTTATCTCGAATGAAATCAAACGAAATGAGACTCGTCAAAATAACGATACAGTCACGATGCGACATCGAGATATCTATCCAAATTGATAAAATTAGATCTCGTTAAGCGACTCTAATTATTTTAGACGGATGCTTGTTTACCACCGTATAACATTTGGCTATCACCAAATAAATACTATGTCCGATGAAATGGAAATATCAAAATGAACTCCTTTAAATTTAATATATAAAGCCGATGACGTTATTTCTGATGTACCAGACTTAACCCTTGGAGGGCTATGCGGGGTGCTGGTGAATAAAAATATGCAATAAATGTTTCTGAAATCAATCTTTGTTTGTTTTAACCCTGGGGTGCACAGGCACCCCACATGGCCAACGAAGTTTTTTTTATCCATGACCCTCCAAGGGTTAATATACCCTCTGTATTTTGTTGGTTATGAACTGAGCAGACACCACAAGACTATCTCTATAGCATCATATGCATGAAGATTATGAAGAGTTTTGAGTTTTTGACAGATAGCATTTGAAACAGGTTATCGCTCTACAACAATGACGCGATGGCTACCTATAAAATATAGAATAATTTTTAAAATTTGCACGTTCATGTATAAGTCTCAATCTAAATTATTTCCTAAGTATTTATCAGTATTAACCTAACTATTAACCTAAACGCCCCGGTTTACGATCGTCTCCTTTTTCTCGCTTTTTCTTAACTCGTGTTAAACACTCTTTTGCTAAATCTGCTTTTGCTTTTTCTGGTCCTTTTCTCTGGAAACTCTCTACCTACTTCTCTGACTACTTCTCCATCACTTGCAAAGTTCAGAGCGGATCTCAAGACCCGTTTTCAAAATTCATCGAGGAGCGCTGTTGAACATCGCGGAAATAGCGCTTTATAAACTAATTCGTTGATTGATTGATTGATTGTAGCTCTTTTTACTGAACAACTTGCAGTTTCCGCCAACTTTACCAAACATACTGCACTGAATTATACAGATACCAAAAACTATCAATCCAAGAATAATTGAACAAAAATTGAACGACATTTTTTAAAATAAATATTTGTATACAATTATTTTTGAGACTTTTTGATGAGGTCCAAAACGAATTTTTGTCTTGCATTCTTTATTTCGATGGAAGATTTTTTTATGTCAACCCTTTTGAATAACAATACAAAAAATTCGTGTTTTGCTATAAAATTTTAATTCTTAACGAGAATAATAATTCGAGGCGCAGATGCTTACATATTTTCTCTTTTATGAAAGAATTAAAAGAAACATTTGTTATGTTGGACACTTGCCATGCTGAGAAGATTCAAGCCTGTTTAGTTGGAAAAGCGTTACGAGCGATTGGACAAAATCCTTCCAACAAGGAAATATCAAAACTTTTGAAAGTATCACAAAAATCAAGTATTTTATAAATTGTAATTTCAGCATTGATTGTACCTGTCCAGTCACTTACTTATCTTTTGTTCCAATCACCTTTTAAAACTTGACAACTAATCTTACTGAATTGAAATTAAATCATGAAACTACGTACGTTTAAAATTGCTAAAGTTAAATATATTAGTTATTAATGAAGTGAATTAAATTTACAGACCAGGACGAAATTAATTTTGAAGAATTTGTTGAAATTCTGTCAAAATTTAAATTCAAAAGCCAAGCGGAAATCCTGGATGATTTGACAAATGCATTTAAAGTTTTCGATTACCAAGAGGTTTTAAGCAATTTAAAAATTATCATTCGTCATTTTAAGGCTTTGAAATTACAATACAATCGTAAATAAAATCAAAGTTTTGACAATATTTATGCAATAATGCAATAAAAATATACTGTGAACGAAATTGGTGATATAATTGTAGATTAAACGAAATTAACTAAACAGATTGGAGTCATTGATGTAAAAGAATTGAGACAATGGTTAGAAAAGAGTGAAGAAGCACTAACATCTAATCAAACTGATGAGCTTTTAAAACTTGGCAAAAAAGAATTATCAGATGGAACGTTCAATTACGAAGGTTATATTATATTCACATACACCCACCTTGTTATTTAACCAAATGATGCATTTACTTATTTAGAATTTCTACAACAAACAATCTATTTGGACAACTGTTAACTGTATTCAGAAGACCGCCATAACAAGATGAGATTTAAAAATGAACAAATGTGTAAACAATTTATATAAGTGATTATAGCAACCATTAACCAAAATGTTATTAATGTCATGATCAAGTTCAGTAACAATAGTCAAGTTATACAAAAAATCCAAATGGAAAATAAAAGTATTAAAAAATAACAATAAGACAGTCACACGAAATCACAATTCGACGGAAACAAAGTTACACACATCATAAAAAATTAAAAGTAAAATCATTTGAAATGTTAAATAATGTTAATTTTTTTATTTACAATATTTAACTGGATGAAATTTAAAGAAGTAAGATAGAAAAACAGGCATTAAAAAAGATTGTAATGAACCATCATTCTATTATTTGATAATTAGTCATCATAACTCTGTAGTCATCGAGAATGGTTCTGAAATTGGATCGATTTTGTTCATAGTAGTCCCAACAATGTTGCATTATAAAACCGTAGACTTTTTCTGCGGAATTTATATTTTTCTAATGAAATGTTTAAAAAAAATTTCAATGCAAAGGTTTCTAATCTAAAAGCGTTAGCCTGAAATTTGAATTCTATAGTAAAATATTTTGAGTTGAATGTTTAGAGTGTAGGCTTTCAAACGGTTTAGAGAAAGCTTGAAAAATAAAATGGGAGATTATTTAAATGAGCCGCGAAGATGCATTATAAGAAAGAGATTGCGAATATGATACATAGAAGAGAACAATCGTGAGATGGATAAGCTCTAACACAGTTGGAGAGAGTGAAAAAAAATTAAGAAAGCCGCAATTACAGCCAGGGTCGAGTAGTAAGTTGAAAGGTGTAAAAAGCAGAAAAAGATGAAAGCCACGGTATTGATTGTAAAGGAATTAATTTGGTAATATATCCTTAAAAACAAACAATGTAGGAAATTAAACAAAAATTTATTCCAATTGATCGTTATGTTAATTTTCCTAAAGTCATTTTAAACGAATAAAACTAACTTGGACATATGTCGGGCTTTTCTAATCGTCTTCCATCGTGAAGCTCCATCCAAAGATTTTTTATTTCACACAAATTCGGATTTTCTCCATAGCTGAATATTTCCCACATTGTGACGCCGTAGCTCCACACATCTGTCTTTTCAGTGAACGTTCGTTTCTCAAGTGCTTCTGGTGCACACCTGAACAACAAACAACACATTATATAAGAAAACGCTAAAAATAAATCACTTTTGTTGGTCAAATGAATATTTAGTTAAATTTTATCTAGATTCTGAAGCTTAGAGTGCAATTGAACTGTTAAAATGTATTACAAAATTGCAGGAATAAGTTCTGAATAGAAGAATTAAAAGTCAAACACTACAAAAATCTATTCAAAGTTTATAATCAAAACTTGAAATATCATTAATTTAAAAAACTATCCGAAATTGCTTGAAATAGAAATTTAATGCATGAACCAACCATGGCGCAGGTAGTTCTTTGTTTTCGTCGCTCCTGTAATAATCTCTTTCCGGACAGAGAGTTCTAGAAAGCCCAAAATCACCAATCTTCATGTGTACATCATCAGTTACGAGTACATTGCGTGAAGCTAAGTCCCTGTGAACAATGTGCTTCTCAGCTAAAAAGTTCATCCCCTTGAAAGTAGAAATTGGCTTAAGTTTAAAATTAATTCATGATGCAAATCATTGGTAATGAGAATAAGAATAAGAATTCATACAGTTATATTGATAAAATTGTGTATAGAGAATAATATCAGTAAAATCAACATTTATTTAAATTAATTTTAATAAAGCGAACAGATCTTCTGGCAAAAATAAGAGAAGTTTAACAACATACACATGCAATTTCATATCCGAACTTAACAAGGATGGACACTCCCAATCGCGCTTGGTTTTTTTGCAGGTACTCCCTTAATGATCCTTTTTCAACATACTCCAACACTAAGACTTGAGAACTTACTGAAAACATATCACAAATGTACATTATTTTTAGCTAAAACGATTAAAATAAAAATAAATAATAGAATATTAATAATAAAACTATTATTTGTTAAGTAGCATATGTGTGGCATCACGTAATTGCATGTGTTAATTTCACCATCATTTCGCCTATGTAAGCAATTACAATTGAAACCCTATTTCATAAAATTTGTTGCATTTCTTTTAAGCTAAGATTGTTCAGTTTGATCGAGTAAAATTTGTTTAAAAAACTTTTCATACAATCCACTTTAATTGACACGAATATAAAGAAAACAAAATTAATAAAAAACAATGAAATAAGGCAAAATGAAAAAAATGGACAAGACAGCTATCTACCTTTCATTGTGGTGCATCTGCCTATAACGCAAACGATATTATCATGCTTGAGGTCTTTCATTATGTTGTATTCCTCCTCAAATTCCTTGTGGTATTTTAAGCACATGCTCCTCTTCAACATCTTCAGGGCTACAGGCTGAAGAGTTCCATCGTATTTATGGTAGAATCCTTTGTATACCTCTCCGTAGTGACCCTAAGTCCCAAATGGTTTTAGTAAAATATTCACTGGAATATAAAATATTCAATTAAATGATCAAGATGACAGATCATTTCAAGTCGAAACAAACTATTCTAACTTACAAAACATTGCCGCTCACAGTAATATATAATTTATATCTCGTGAATACATTAATACTTTAAATTATTTTATTTATAGAAAACTCTTAACAAAATGACAAAATTTGCGTCGTTCACAGGCTAACAGCAAACCATGGGTTCTATAATTAGAATTGTTTGTTTGTTACATTTAGTATCAAAAACAACTGCTCTGGAAAGATTGTTTACAAAGTTATAAAACAATAAATACTGAAACATAATCACATGTCCGATCCTGTCCTTCATGTCAAAAGTGAGGTCCTTCTCAGATATATTATCTGATGAACAACATTCGTCATCTAGGTTAACTGCCAAAAAAAATAAATAAAACTACTTAAATAAACTTAGCTAATCATGAAATTACTTTATGGAGTCCTTTACCCGGGGCGATTTCAACTACTTAGACTATACTAATAACGAAGAAATGCCTTCAAACATAATAATAACTGCCTTTAAATTAGAAACTTAGGAAAAAATTGAACCCTATACATATCTTAGAGCTAATGTAGAAATTAACATGGTTGAGGCAAAAGCATTAAGAATAAAAAAAACAACAGGCTCAACTAAAGCAAATATTTAGACTAAATGTCGTCAAATATATAAGTACATTGGTATCTCGATATACGACCTTGAAACGTACCCAAAAAATTTGTTCAAAGTCGCTCAATATTGAAAAGTGACTTACCGGTAATATTGCTCAGTTCTGAGTCGCTTGAATGGCTGTTGCTCATCAGATTTGGTCTGATCAGTGGAGTTTCGCTGTCTCCGGAGCTTAGATGGTTCATCCCCATGGTTATGATTCTCCCTCCTCCATTCATCCACCTGAAAACAAAATGCGACTATTTAAAACATCCGTGCTCAGTTTTGTTCAAATAAACAGAGAAGTATTCACGTTATTCAGTGAAATAGAAATTCGCATGTACGACGTGTCTAATGAAGTTTCAATAAATGACCAACGCTGAAACACAAAAACAATATAAATAACACGATTAAAATTCGTAATATGTTGAAAAATTGTTTAGAGAGAAAGACGTAAACCTAAAAACTGAGAAGTAAAAACTTGAAAGTAAAAAATAACTTGTTATGACTGGAGTTGGCATTACTTTTCCTCCTACTCGTTTTCGCTTTTGCTTTGATAGGAACGATAGCATTTGCTCCATCGTAGGAATTATAAAGATAGTGGTCAGCATCTGGATAGAAAGCACAGTTGATTAGTTCATTGTCAAATTTTACAACCCAACTTATGAATGACGAAATTTTATATAAAAAAATAAATTAATCTAAAACCTACTAAAAAAGCAGAATAATTGTGCATCAAAAACAAATGATAATGAATCTAACAAGAACACATGCAGCTATCAACACAAAAAAACGATCAAACGAAAAAGTTAAAAAAAAGGAACAGCTGCAAACCCTTTTGAGAAATACATCTGATGTCACGTAACAAATCCTGAATGGTTATCCTTTTATCCGACTTGGGAGCCCAACAGAGTTTCATGATGTCATAAACTGAAATGGGACATGCCTCTAATTGTGGGAGGATGTAACTTTGGCTATGTCTCAATTTAGTTATCTGATGAGATTTATTGTTTGTCATGAGTTTCTCTTGAATCTCCAATGAATATTGTATAGTGATGAAAGCAGCCATCTATTCACGCACACTCACGACACGCGCAATATATTAATTTTATATCCCACAATTAGAGGCATGTCCCATTTCAGTTTATGACATCATGATATATATATATATATATATATATATATATATATATGTGTGTGTGTGTGTGTGTGTGTGTGTGTGTGTGTGTGTGTGTGTGTGTGTGTGTGTATGTGTGTGTCATAAAAAGTGTAATACTCATACTAAAATTAAAATAAATATAACAAATGAAGAAAAAATAATTGCACAATTATGTGATAATTATCGTCATTTTATATTTATAAATACCAATTTCACAATTGTATAATTTCAGATCTATAATTAGTGACATCACATTAACCAAACAGAGGATATAAAATTTTAAGATCTAAGCAAACAATCTTACTTTTGGCAGGGAGCAATAAAGATAATAAATGCGGAGTAAAAATCAGCCAACCTCTTCTTCATCCGGTCCCTCTCCTCCATTGTACATTTCCCAAATAGTCGTTCCATAGGCGTACACGTCCGTATCGAAGGTCACCAACCGCAGGTTGTCCCTGCACTCTGGGGCCAACCACGGAATTCTGTCCATTTTTAACCAATTTTTCTTAAATTAAACAAAAAAAATTTTTATCAACCACACAATTTACGTCAAGAAAAAATTATTGATTAGTTGAAGAAACAAAAAAAGCAAAGTAATCTAATTGGCCTAAATAGAAGTAACAACCATTCAAATAATTAAAAATTATTTAGAGCCGGTTACTACCTCTGAATATTAATCGAGTGATTAGCGGCTAACTCATTGGTCATGATATAAAGACCAGGATCGGAAAGTTTCACTATTGGCAACTTGTCATTTTTCATCTGGAAGACAAGAATTCGTTTGCAATTAACGTTTCCATGAACCTGCCCCATGTCTTTGTGCTGTCATTCAAAATCAATTATAATGAAAATATTTAAAAATGTATATGAAAAAATAAATTGATATACATATCAGTGAAACTATGTTAATAATGAGGCCTCGTAATAAAATAATCTGTTGTAAACTGTTGTTGTTCAGTGGATGAACAAATTAAAATAAAATTTAAATTCAATAAGAGTTTGAAAATACAATATAGCACTGTATGTGTAATTGAAAATTGTTTTTCTTGAATAAAATAAAATATTTACAACGGTATCATTTTATAATTATTTATTATAACTTGGTTTATTTTCTACTTGAATTATAGAACTAGCATACACTCAACAAAATTAAGCAGCCAGTGAATTAATTATATAGCATTACCGTACAACCGACCGACCAGATAATAGAGAGCTTGCGCAACTTGCTCAGCAATGAACATGATCTGATACTGCTGTAAGCCTCTGTTGTAGTTGGCCAGAAATTCTCTGAGATTGCCAAGCCGAGCATACTCAGTGATGAATGAGAAAGGATGGTTGAGACAGACGGCTATCACGTGACTGATGGTGGAGTTATGCCCCCAGAAGATAACTTGGTGTACCATTGACGTGAAATGCTAGGTGGTTGTTCATTATCATCATTACTTATTTATCAATCCCGTTAACGTTTTAAAAATATATTTTTTGATATTTTTGCTGCTTATCAATGGGTGATGAATGTGGTTAAAGTTGGCAATTCTAATGAATGAAGAAAAAAAATTATTCCTAACAAACCTGCAGAACTTTTTTATTGGATGAAGGTTTGACCTGCTTGACGACTACGTCAGTTTCAACATTACCAATCTTGTATTTGCTCTTGTAAACATTTGTAAATCTGCCTTCACCTAATCATCCAAATGTCAAACAAAAAATATTTTTCAATAGACAACCAACATATATTTATTTTTCTTAAAATAATATCATCACAGTCTTCACTCATTACAGCCATTGTAATCCCAATTATCATCATTAAGTCATAGCCTGCATAATCCATTCACGAAAAATCCTTTCAAAAATATTCAGAATCTTAAAGGTATGATATTAAATATCATGTTTATGCAAACATGTAAACACTCAATAAACTTGCCTCACAAAAACCAACACAGACGCACACACACACATACAAATATAAACAGAATAGAACTGACCAATAAGCTCATTGCAAGTGACACAAGATACAATATTGACGCCACCAGCATTTTTCTGATCAGCTGGTTCGTCACCAACATCATCCTTCTCCATGCGGCACAATAAAATTTTTGGATCACCTTTAAATGTAAAAATTAAGATTAAGATTTTATTGTAAACGAAAAATAAAATTTTCATTTGGTGTTATTAGCATTTTCTGTCAGCTAGTTAAAGTTTGAGTCATTAAAATGTTCAAGGATCCAGGAATCAACTTGTTTCCTTATATAACATATATAAGCTGCATTTTAAATAGATCTTTAGCTGATAATAATTTTGACCAGGTTTATTTCTGAGTTAAATAAACAATCTTTTGTGAAATAACCCTTGATAGCCAATAATAATAAATTTTAATTGCTCATTTTTGTAATAAAAATTAACCTCTCTATAATAGATGAAGTTAAATATTTTTATAGTAAATTGTCTAAAGAATAAAGACAATTACTACCACTGATGTTTATGTAAACAGAAAGATCATTTTAATTGGTGTAAGGAAGAGAATGAACAAAAAAAATTTAAATGAATAATAATCATTGTATGTAACTAACATGGCTTAACTGGCTTCACGTTTGTTTTAAGCTTTAAAATAGGCATATAATGAGAAATTAGTTGGGGGATTGTATCAAATTCTACTGTACTGTTGTTGTTGTTGTTGTTAATGTTGTTGCGGCAGTTATCATTAGCACAATTGTCGTTGTTATTGTTGTCACTGATACAGATGAGATTGTTGTTGCCAGCATGGTTGCTGATGGTACTGTTAAAAGAAATATTTCTATTACCATCGGGGATGACGTCATCAACTGAGCCATCGAGGAGATCAGCAGTGCTTCTTCTCTCGTCATCTGTTTTGTTCTGATCTGCAATGAAAGTAGATGTTGTCGATGAAGCAGTAAGTGTCGTTGTCGTCGTGCCATTAGAAGTTATGTGATTGTTGTCGGCGTTGCTACAGTTGTCGATGTTTGAAAAGATATCCGTTGGTGAAGATGACGCTGCTGACGTTGTTGTCGCTATGGCTTTTACTGATGTTGCTGCCACTGTTGTCGTAGTTGTTGTTGCTGTTGGTGGAGAAATTATTCCAACAAGATAGTACTTGTCATTTTCGTTGGTATGAATTTGAT